ATGCAGAAACCACCACGGGTACTGTGTACCTATTTGCCACCTTTTTAACGTTGTGTGCCGCCTTATGCGCATACCGGACAACCACTGGTCCTCCTTTTTCCCTAGCAGGGATTCAGCCACTGCCACGCCTGAGCGAGGATACCCAGCCGGCTGACCTGGTTGTCCAAGCATTCTGTAAGGGCAAACGTGCATTGAGTGTGTCCGATTGTGCAGTGTGATGTGCTGTAGGGTTGACAGGCGGGCTAGTTGGTACAAATTCATAATGGAATAATTGGAAGCGCAAACCAACGGACACTTGCTACGCTTGTTTGTCTCTTCTCTTGTGTCCCATTGGTTTGCGCTTCCAATTATTTCATTATGAGTGTAATGTGCTATTGCGCATGTGTGGCATGGTGGATATATTGCGGGGGGTTTGCAAGAATAAAGTTAGTTGGCACTTTTTCCTTTCATCTGCTCTTCCCCAGTGGTTTGCGTCGCTTAATTTTCTTGTAACATGCCCCAACTAACCGAACAACAAGGTTTACTCCAACAGCATGCCTGCGTTAGCTTTTAGCATAGGTCGCGTCAATTCTCGAATTATAATTTGGCAGGCCGTTTCACTTGAGGTGTCATTTGTGCTTAAGATATTGACATTTTTTGTTATTGTTTTATTTAAGATCAAATAGATTATAGTTAATAAATATTTAGAGGTAATGCAGAGGATTATGTTGCAATCATTACATGGTTAATTAAGACAGAGCACAGTAGGTGACCACAGATTAATGCCACTTTGGGTATTTTAGCACGTGCCTGTATGAAAAATATGTGCTCGTATTTTGCAGCCATCAGAGAAATCGGGGACGCGATTCTCGATGGATCTCCTTCGTGGACTTCGGCAGAGCAGGTTGAATTACTCACAAAAATAGAGACGTGACATTGTGGCTTCCTTGACCACATAAGATATACGAGCCCACCAGCACATTCCCAGCGTGAAGGGAAATAAAGTGGACAAAATGTAAAGTAACAGGACACTTACCCCCGTATTCACAAATGCTCCTTCACTCAAGGACTCTCCTCGACTTGAAAAAGTCGATGGGAGCGCCGTCTCTTGGCAGAACAAGTCACTGCATATGGGCAATATTCTGCAGCAATTCTCAAGAAACACAGCGTCAATTTCAGTCGAGCAGCAGTGCAGTGCTCAACTCAGTCAAGTGAAGGATGGAATTCGTGTTGAGGAGCGTTTCTGAATGCGGGAGTTGAACTTGACAAGTCTGAACTAATGTGTGAACGTGTTTAGATGTTTCATAACAATGCAGGGAATGTGTATCGACCTTTTAGGTGCGTCCGGCAGGTAGGCAGCTGTGTTGAATCTATAATTAAAAGGCTAATGTGATTAGAGCTTATGCATGGCCTTTGAGATGCGAATCCAAAAGCAGATCTATGAGGGCAGGATTTGTTGTGGGGAAACACATTCTGTCCCTCTCATGTGTCCAGAGATGTGAAAGCTCTTCTACGTCCAAATGACGTTGTAGAAGAAAGAACAAAAATGGAGCGTGCTGCTCACCAAGCGACAGCCGAAGTGGATAATCCACCAGGTGGAGCGATCAAAAACTGCGGCCCAGGATCAAACACACCTTAGCTCGCAGGACGTTTCGACAGTATGCAATAATTGTGAAATGCTTCTGAAGTGAAGTTCTAGAGCAAGTGAGTGAACTGTGAAACTGTATTTTGAAAGTCAGTGAAAGAGCGTGGTGTGCTTCCTTACACGGAATTTAGAGGACATGGTGCTTGTAGCACAAGGTACTATTCATCATGTAGAACTAATCAATCACAGGCAGACTGAGTGAGTTAATATGTTTCTATCATTTAAAAAACTCTAAATAATGCTTAACACACAATGATCCAATAAGCAACACCGTGACTTTCTGTGTCTTAAGCTGACAAACCTTGATATTTTTTTAGTTGGCTTAGAACGTACCGAAAATTGCACTGGAAGCACTGTGTAGTGCAACTGACTGACACATATCTCTTTGTTGTGTGTATATCTTTCTTGCATCACTAAATAACCTAGAGTCGTGCTTTACCAACACTTCACAATGAAATTTTTTACCCTTTATAACCTTTGAACTGTGTTTAAAAATTGCAGCCTAGTGACATGCACGTTACAAGGCTGCAAAAAACGAGATTTTTTTTCTAGTTTCGAACATAACTCTATTGAGTTCGCTGAATTTGTCTTTGCCTACGAAGACCCCACCCCGATCCGAGATTTTTCACGTGACCCCTATCCTTTGGCTTCGTGCAACTCGGCCTGCTGCCCCAAAAACTTGCCGACCTCTGGTATAAATTGCGCTGTATCATGGAAAGCTACTAACTTATCATTATTCTATGTAGCACAATATGCCATGGCTATGGATCCATGTTTTTGGATAAATCCAATAAACACCCGCTGGTAAAAGTTTTGGCAACTAAAATTTATCCGATAAACTCTGATTTTAAAAGGGTATTTTCAAAGCTGAGAATCATATGTCGAAAGAAGCATGCCTCTGTCAGTGGCAGCAGCCTTGTAAAGTATGCCTGTCTCTTTTACAAGCTTTGAAGTTGAAATATGAACAAACATATGTGTGTTGCATTCAAGTATTTGTGTGTCCGTGTTCAAACCTTCCAGACATCTAAAATGCAGTGTTTGCATGTTTCTTTCTCCCAAAACCACCCTCCGAATTTCATGAAAAATAAACTCCGAAAACATGGAGCCCTAGCCACGGCCGAGGACAGGCTTATGTGATGAGAGAGCAGCACTTGCTCAGTAGTGCTGCATTGCGAGATGTTCATTTCTGCCAGCATTCTGATGGAGTAGGATGCAAAAACACTTGTGCACAATCACGCATTAGTTGTACAGATGGAATCGCACTTGTCTAGAAAAGTGGAGCGTCTAGCTTTGGACACTTTTGTTGTCCGCAGCTGCTACCACACGTTAGCTACAAATATCCCTTCATATAGCACAAAGACTTCGAATGTTAGAAAGAAAGACTGCAAGGACCTTTCTTTTTGTTCAACACAATATTAACAGACAAAGATGATAAGAGAAGTATAGCAGATGTCATTAGTGCCAATGTAAATGTGAAGAAAGTGGACGAAAAAACTCGCTAGTGGCAGGTATCGAAGCTGTGACCTTGTCATAATGAATACTGGTAGTGCTGTCTTGCACTACCAGGTTCAAATGCACATAAGGTGGACAGGGGCAGGTTGCCGCTAAAGGTCAGTTGGTAGAGCATTAGACGCATTATTTGAAGGTCGGAGGTTCGGTACCTGCTAGCAGCAAGTCATCTTTTCGTCCACTTTACGTTCTTCACATCTACATTACAGTTACCACTAATGACATTCCCTGTACTTTCCTCGGTATCATTGTTATTAGAAATTATGACTATGTTAGGCATCATTTAGGTGTCAGTCGGCATACTTTTGCAGAAAACGGCAGCTGAAGCGGCCGGTTGGGCGCTACTGACAAGTGTGATTGTGTCTGTAGACTCTAAGTGCAAAAAATTAATCAATTACACCTCACTACGATGTGTTACAAACGCAAGTTGTAATTGGATATGTATCTACTCAATTGAGAAGTGGCTTTAGTGCAAGCCTTGCTGGCTTTAATGACAACCCACAATGATGCCAAGGAAAGTGTAGTAGATGTCATTAGTAGCAATCATTACAGTTACTATTTATAACATCCCATATACTTTTCTTGGCATCATGCTTTGTTTGTTCCCATCAGTATTGTGCCCCCCCCCCCCCCCCCCCAAAAAAAAAACTAGCCCCTATGTTTACACTTAGTTTAACCATCGACATTTCCTGGTAGACATGTGCATGCAATACTAATTTAATTTAAAAAAACATCTCTGTACAACCAGTTACATTAAAAGACACACAGCAGGATTTCAATGCAATTTCCCAATAACCAGTGCCGGAAAAAGCTGGTTGCATAAGCATTTTTAAATTTTGCTGTAAGTGTAGAAAAACAAAAACTATGAAATGGTCACTTCAGCTTTGGAAACTTTTTTGTAGTGGCTGATCAATCAAGTTTTTTTTGGAGCATAACAAGAGTTGCCTAGTGGAATTGTCAGTAAGTCGTGAGGAAATGGCTGCAACGCGAACTCTAGTAGCACGACGTGTGTTGTCTTTCTCTTTCCTTCTGTCAAGTTTGCGCTGCAACTAATTTCTCGTGCACAACCTCACAATGTTGTTCAGGCTGCAGATATTAGGAGGGTCTTTTTGACATGGTTCGTTTGAATGCATGTCTACGAAGTGATCGGTTAGCTTTCTTGTCAATAGCCTCGACTAAAGAGGCAGTTGACTTCGCACAAGCCACATCAGTGTTCATGCGCTTTTTTCATTATACGCAGGCCCTTTCGCTAATGCTAAATACGCTGTCCTTTAGTGAGCACTGCTTTTGTCGCACGTAAAACCGTTCACAGAGCGTGCTAGGCAGAGAGCCCTGGCTTCTGAAAATACTTTTGACCTATTCACCTCCCGCAAAAGAACTTATTTGATGGGCATGTTGGTAGATCTGTTGGGAAAAAAAGTAATTATTATTAGAGTGCAAACACACGGCACACTTAAGCGTACGTGTGGTGGTGGTGGTTAAAAGAAGCCGCCTAATTTTTGCAGCCTGGTTCCGGGGTGTGTGAATGTGATGCGTGTTTGCGCTCTATTTTTAGACACATTCACGCCCCCCCCCCCCCCCCCCTCAAACAGACACACCTTACGGTGCACGCGATCATCCACACGCACCTAAGTTCTGATAACACACTCCGTAAAATTTCAATTTGCGATAAACCTCGGGTTCATAAATTGGCACGATTTCGCCAAACGTCCTGTGACAGAAGAAATCGAGAGGCGGAACCGTACCCTTGGTCGCGCTTGCCACATTACAGTGACGCCCGTGGCTTCTGTGAACGAGACGCGCAGAATAACTTTATTTAGAACGCTTAAAATATGACCTTCGTAAAGGAAAAGCAGCATAATCGTACCTCAAAAAGAAGCGTCGGCGACGAAAACACCTACACCACGGAACACCTACCTACAATACCATTTGACGACAACCTGCCGTGTTTGGCCAGTGTTGCTAACATGGTTCTGACGAACGCCTCCTCTAGAAAGATGCCTGCCGCATGAGAAGAAAAACAGCCGCCACACCCTTTCTCTGCTTCATTTTAGAATGTTCTCGGTCGCTAGCGTCACTTGCGGCGGACGGTGCAACAACGCAACAATTTGCATTCCCTCCGAAACAGTGGTGCACAGCTGCAGGTCTTGAACAACTCTCGACTGACGCGGGCCTACGGGCCGCAGATGAAAAACGCTTAGCTGGTACAACGCCTCCTCTAGAAAGATGTCTGAGGAATGGCTCGCACTCCCAGCAAAGTTGGCCTGCCTCCAGTTTTAAACAAGCTCCGCGCGGTGGCGCTCGCGACTGACACTATTACCGCGACGGGCGGTACCAGCTAAGCGTTTTCATCTGCGGCCCATAGGGACACGTCAGTCGAGAGTTGTTCGAGACCTGCAACTGTACGTCACTGTTTCGGAGGCTATGCTAAGTGTTGCATTGTTGCACCGTCCGCCAAAGGTGACGCTAGCGACCGAGAACATTTTCAAAATGAAAGAAAGAAAGGGTGTGGCAGCTGTTTTTTTTTTTTCCTCATGCGGTAAGTAAGTAAGTAAGTAAGTAGGTGCTCCTAATCCCTTTTGGCACAGGGCAGGCGCCAGCAGCGCCACAGGACAAAGTTGTGCGCTTCAACGCACATCCATACACACGCACACACACATCACCAGTCAGGCGCTTGCCGCGCCACCGTCAAAAAAAAAAAAAACATTTTGTGTTTTACACGCACTTCACGCGAACACGCACTCACACGTTTTCCACTTTACTGTTCGAAGAAAGAAAGGTCTGGTAGTAAATTGCCCGTTTCGCCACCAGGGGAAACGTGCCCTCGGCCAAGTCTATCCAGTGGCGTCGGCGTCGTTTAGATATTTTCTGTCGGCCCTTCGTTGCGCTGGACACTGTCGGGGTGTTTGTCCACCTGCCAGCACAGTCTGTCCCAGAGTTTTAGACGTCGCTTGGCACTCTCGGTGTGTTCGACTCGGGTGTCGACGGGATCATCTGGGAGACCCAGATATTCCGCCAGGTTTATCTTGGGTAGGTCCCTCGCTCCGAGTCGCGGGCAATCCATCAGGATATGTTGGATGGTTTCTTCCGTGGCCCCGCATAGGCGGCACGACGGGTCCGTGTCGAACAGTTCCCAATGCCGCTTCCGCGTGGGCAGTGACCCCGTCCTGGCTTGGAACAGGAGGGCGCTTTCCCGGTCGCCCCTGTAAAATGGCTCACGGTCTGGAGCCTGCTTGTATTCGAGGTATAACTGTAGGCTCCTTTTCTTTGCCGCCGACGTGCGCCACATCTCTGTGCTGGCTTCGGTTATAGTGTTTTTTGTTATTATACGCCATTCTCGTTCCGATTTTGCTTCTTCCAGTTTTGTGTTATGGCCGAATTTATTTTCCAGAGAAGCCAGTCGTTTCATCCACTGTGTTTTTATGCCCCTGTATCGGAGGTGTAGGTATATGCGCTGGCTGTAATTTGTTTCTGGTAGAAACTTTAGCCGGCCCGCATATTGTATTTTTGACCTTGCTTCGCGTGCTTCGAAAGTTGACCAGGCCAACTCCCCTGTTACTGCTGCGTTTGCTGTTGCAAAGCTGCCTCCCAGTAGCCAGCGCCCCAGTTCATTTTGGTGGCGGTCCAAACATCGCACTGTTTGGGTAGAGTACGCCAATGTGTCACCTGCGTAGGTTATTGCAGGCACGGCAAGAGTCTTCCAAAGTGTGCGGCCTACCCTGTAGGGGTTGTAGGAATGCCGTGACAGGTGCCACACCCTACCTTTTAGGCGGTTGGATTGTTTTAGGAGTAATTCTTGGTGTTTGTCAAGGTAATTCTTTTGGTCTGATATTGTTATGCCTAAATATCTGTATGTTGCTGTTTTCTTGATGGTGTTGCCTTGGATGGTGAATGTTATGTCTTTGTCATCAATGTTTATGCCCATCCATTGTGTTTTGTCAGTGTTGAATGTGAGGCAATCTTCGTGGGCTACGCGAGAGCATATGTCGAGGAGATGTTGCAGGTCCGCTGGGGATTCGGCCAATAATACGATGTCATCGGCAAATGCCAAGCATGAAATTTTAGTGTAGATTTCTTGGCGCTCAGTTGTTACGGTGGAAAGACGTAGCCCTGGTCCTTCTCTATTTACTTGTTCTAGTAGGCTGTTAATGTAAATATTGAATAATGTTGGCGATAGTGGGCACCCTTGTTTGAGTCCAATATTTTGTTGCACCTGTCTAGATTTATATTTGCCCAGTTCATACACTGCCGTACACTCTGCATATAGTGCTTTTAGTAATTTGATGAAGTCTTCCTCAATATTAATTTTTTCTAGCTTCTCCCACAGTCGTGAGTGCGGCACTGAGTCATATGCTTGTTGTAGATCCAGGTATGCCAGGTATAGTTGAGATTTGTCTCTGTTTTTCATTTCTATTGCCTGGGTTAGGGTAAAGATATGGTCACTTGTCCGTCTGTTTGGGCGAAATCCATTTTGCGATTCTGACAAGATTAAGGTTTTTTCACAGTGGTTTTGTAGCCTGCGATTCAGGATTGTATTGAAGAGTTTCAGAATGCTACTCAGTATTGTTATGGGGCGATACGCCCCAATGTCACTTGTTTCCTTTCCCTTTCCCTTGTGAATCAGCTTTACCCGGCTTTCTTTCCAAGTTCTTGGTATTTTTCTGCTTGCCAGAATGTCGTTGAGGCAGCCGCGTAGCATTTCCTTTGCCTCTGTTTTGAATGCTTTCAGGAATTCGTTGGGTATATCATCGAGTCCTGTTGCTTTCTGGTTTTTTAGATCATTTATGCGTCTCTTTAGTTCTAGTTTAGAAATTGGTCCAGTCAGCTTTTCTTCTTCAGGTGTGCTGGTCTTGTCCTTTTTTCTACTGCTGATCTGGGGTGGTGGATCTACTGGATTGGTTTGCATATTTTTAAAATGTTTAGTTATGTGCTGTTCAATTTCTTCTTTGGTATGTAGAGGAATGCTATTTTCAGTAAGTAGTATGAGTGAATCTTCCTGAAGGGTGTCCTTTGGTTCCAGTGTCCTTATGTATGCCCAAAACTTCTGACTGTAATGGTTACGATCCTTATGCAGGTTTTCTTCTTCTTTTTGGAATTTCTGGTCTATCTTTTTTTGCGGCCATTTCCTTTACTTTTCTTTTTTGGGCCAGGTATTCCTTCCAAATTACCTCTTTTTCTGTCGACTCATTGGGCGTATGACGGTGCCTTCTGGATAATTCTTTGCGAATGCGAATTTCTGTCTTCAGTTCTCCATCAAACCAAGGTGTGTTTCTGGTCCTTTTTTTTTCACTAGTTTTCCCAATGGTTTCTTGTGCTACTGACAGGCATTTTTCTGCGAATTCCTCGTATGTTAGAGGTTCTGTTAATGTTGACTCGAGTTTATTGGAAAATTCATCCAGGCGCTCTTGCTCTTTCACTCGCCAGTGAGCTTTTGTAGTTTCAGGCCGGTTTACTCGATGGGGTTGATGGCGTCTGAGGCACAGTTTCATTCGGTTGTGGTCACTTCCACAGCTGTTTGTTTTGTCTTCGTCTATGTACAGAGCTGTGATGTTTATATCTTGCCTTACTACCTCTTGATTGTAAAGTATGTAGTCTATAGCAGATTTGTTAGCTCTGCGTGACCATGTGTAGGTGCCTTCACAAGCTGGATGGAGGTTTGCTATTTGTAGGTTGCATTGTTTAATTAATTTTCGGAAGCCAGCAGCATCTTTTTCGTGACCATCCAATTCTACTATGTGGCAGTTGAAATCTCCCATCAGTAGTACCGGTTGGCCTTTGTAGGTTTCTTCAATGTCTTTCTTGAGGCATGCGTAAATGCTGTCATTCCACTTTTGTTCCTCGAGGCCTGTTGCCATGTATATGACACAAATGTACAGGTCACGTGTGTCAATCTTTATTTTTATCCACATGTGTTCCTTGTCCTGGCAGTCCCCATTTACAGTGCTTCTCTTCGGTGTAATAAAACCAATGCCTCCACCCCGTTTTTGTCCTTTACTTCTGTTCTTTCCTTGCCATACTAGCCCCGGGAGCAGAGGTTGTTCGTCGTCCCGCAGGTGAGTTTCCGTTAGAGCGTAGATATCTATTTTTTGTCTGTTCACTTGGTCTTGGAGTTCAGCCCACTTGAGTTTGTTTGTTCCTTGCATGTTTAGTAGGCATATGGTGAGTTCTTTTTTCACTTCACTCTGCTTTGTTCTTCTGTTTCTTCTTTTTCTGGAAAGTGGTTGACAATGATCTCTGGAGGACTGAAATTGGGGGGGGGTTGTGCGTATGGTTTTGCCTGCTTGGTTGCTTACCAGTGCCGGTTTCTCTGTCCTAGTTTGCCTAGGGCTGTTGTCATTGCTTTCAGTAGCGTTTGCACTGTCCTTTGATCTGGTCTTGTTGATCGTCTCCAGTGTTGTGGGCGCGTTGGTTGTTTGTCCCATAAAAAGATTTAATGGCCTCACCTAGTTGGCTGCCAACCTGGTCCGCTGCCTGTTCCGAGTAGTGGATATCATCCAGGTGATCTGCGGTTAGCTGGGCGGCTGCTGACATAAACCGCACACTGGGGCCCAAGGCTGTACACGCCGTTTGAACTGCCGTGTTCCATGTTTGGCATGCTGTAGCAAATTGTTGACCCCTTGCTTTCGGTTCAGGGATGGCACTGACTATGTAGTGGTGTTTGGGTGTCTTTTGGCTCCAGTAAGTCAGTTGTTGCTTCAGGTGGTCAGTGGTCTTTTTAATGTCTGCTTTATTTAAAAGATCAGTAGTACCTACATGTATTATTAGTTGCAGCTCTGTGTTGGTGGCATTTGCCTTCTGAATTTCTCCTTCAGCTCGGTGAAGTGTTTCTTCAAGATTGGCACCAGATTTTGTAGTGATGCGTAGTCTTTGATCATGTATAGCTTTACGGAGGTGCTTTTTCAATCGATGGGCATTGGAGTCGCCTAGGACTACAGTGCGTTTGCTTTGTGGTGGATGGTCATTTGACTGCGTTTGAGGATAGGGATGTTTCTGTTTATGGTCAGCGCTGAGCTGCTGCTGTTTCTGGCTGGTGTTCTCTGATTTCAAGGGTCGGCCTTTTTTGCCCACTTGTGTCCCAGGATTGCCTTCCTCTGCTAGCTCAACTGTGTGCTCAATGTCTTCACTTATCCTGCTTGTGCCCTGTGATGGAATGTCTTCCTTCCATTGGCTGCGAAATTGCTTGTCTGAGGGGTGTTTTGGCTCTGGTGTCCCGGAGTCGTGTCGAGGAGTTGAGGTAGCCTGGTCTCCGTTTTCTTGGGCGTCCTGAGTACTGTTTGTCTGTTCGAGTTTTTTTATTTGGGTTTGGAGGGTACCAATCTCTTCCTCGAGTTTTTCACGCAAGTTGCGCTCTGTGCTCAGCAAAGTGTGTAGGTTTTGCCTATCTATTTTAGCTTCCGCTTGAGCAGCTTCCCACTCGGCCTTTATTTGGCTAATTTGTTGTGAGTGTTCGGCACGCAGTTTTATTTCTTGAAGTGCGATTGAAGCCTGCATTGCTGCGAGTCTCGTGCAGAGGTTGCACGTGTATCTGCCTGCCTGGGCTTCTTGTGTGCTGGAGAACGGGGTGTCATCAATGTTTGCCCATTCTTGGCAGGTCTCACATTCTACCATTACTGTTCCGTCCGACGAGTCCTCCTCTACACGGGCACTGGTTCCTTTTGTTGGGGCACCTCGGCGAGTCCGGGTCATGTTGCTATAATTTCTCATAAAATGGTAGTGTTATTTTGTGTAGGTGTGATGTTCGATTTGTGTTGTTGTTCTGCCTCTATTTGCTATATGTTACCGATAGGCTATTCTTAAGGCTGGGCACCAGTTTCTATTTGAAATTGCCGCCTGGGAGAGTTCCGATTTTAGTTATGTTTGCCGGGACATAGGTGGCGCATGTTGTCCGTTTGCTTGTCGTGCGGGTCTCAGTGCGTTAGGCCTAGGTGTTCAGGTTTGTATTGCGCTGGGTAATATGCAGTAATGCATGTCATCACGTACCAAGTGCGTCTTGACAGGCCCGGGGTTTTCATTGGTCCGCCGATTGCATTCTTGAAGGTGGGTCGCTTCGCTTTGCCGCTGATGTTTACACGATCACCACAAGCACGCGCACACTGCAACACAACCACCAAGCATTGTTCACTAATCTTCCTAGAGGAGGCGTTGGCATCTTCCTAGAGGAGGCGTTGGCTAATACCGCCCGCCGCCGTGATGATAGATAGATAGATGGATGTGGTAGTACCCTTCAGATCGGGTTGCGGCTAACGCCACCTAGCCGTAATACTTAGTGAACTAACAACTAAATTTATCTTTTTTTCCCTATAAATAGTAAAATTGGACGTGTAATTTGCAGGAAAGAGTTTAATTTTCACTCGTGCCTTGACTTTAGCCACCAATCAGATAACCTCCTTCTAGTTAAGTCTACCCGCTTATAGTCTATTTTGCCCTCCCGGTCCCTAAACCCCAGTGCTTTGAAAAACTCTGCGCCATCATCCTGAACTATAGGGTGAAGCCCTTTACGGAACATTATCAAGTGTTCGGCAGTTTCTTCTTCCTCTCCACACGCACTGCATACTGTCTCTACCCCTTCGTATTTGGCCCGATATGTCTTGGTTCGCAATACTCCCGCCCTGGCCTCAAACGGTAGAGAACTACCTCGAGTATTATCATAGATTTTTTCCTTGGAAAGTTCATGCTTAAAAGTTCAATAGATCTCTAGTGCGGACTTCTTAATCATGCCAACTTTCCACATTTCAGTCTCCGTTTCCTTCACTTTCTTCTTCACCGATAGTTCTTTTTTGGTTTGGCCACCTGCTGCTTTCTAAGTATTTGCCAGTCAATTCCCTGGTTCGCTTCCTCCATTTTGTATCGACATTCTTCATGTACAAGTAGCTGAAAACATTCCTAGCCCAATGCTCCTCCTCCATTTCTCTCAATCGCTTCTCAAATTTTATTTTGCTGCTAGCTTCCCTGCCCTCAAATGATGTCCATCCCATATCACCTAGCTTGTACTCCCTGATTTGGTGTATTTCCGTGAGCTCCTAAAGCAAGCCTACCTATTCCACTTTGTTTAATTTCTAATCTTGCTTGAACTTCTGATCTCATGCACTGGACCGCATTGCCGAACGTCAGCCCAGGAACCATGACCCCTTTCCATATTCCTCTCACAACATCATACCTATGGTAATTCCACAGTGCCCTATTTTTCATCACTGTTGCATTCCTGTTACCTTTAGTCGTCACGTATATTTCGTGTTCCCTCAGGTACTCGGTCCCATTGCTTATATATACTCCCAGATATTTGTATTTATCTGTTATCTCTAGCGTGACCTCTTGTATTCTAAGCTCACTACCTTCGTTGTCATTGAAAATCATGACTGCTGATTTTTCCTTACTGAATCTAAAATCTAACCCATCTCCCTCATTACCGCAGATGTCCATCAATCTCTGCAAATCTTCCTTGTTGTTGGCCATTATCACTATATCATCTGCGTACATTAATGCTGGTAGTGCCTGATCAATAAGTTTTCCTTGTTTGACTAAAGAGAGGTCTCGGTCGTGAGCGCCATCATGCTGAGCTTGTTTAAAACTGAAGGCAGGCGAACTCTGCTGGGAGCACGAGCCATTCCTCAGGCATCTTTCTAGAAAAGGCGTTGTTCTGACATAGAATTCGCAAGCTTCGTGTGGCTTTGTCGCCTATAGGGGGCGCACAGGGTGGTTCGAAATTAGAGTCACTGAAAATTTGCGTATTGACAGCCGCGAAATGGCGCCACCTTAGCACGGGCTGTCACTTCATTGCTTTTTATGCACTTCGGTGCTTTGATATTAGTAATAGATATAGCAGAGGTTTAACGTCCCAAAACCACCATGTGATTATGAGACACGCCGTAGAGAAGTGCTCCGGAAATTCAACCACCTAGGGTGCTTTAACGGGCACTTAAATCTAGTACACGCACCTCAGTATTTGCGCCTCCGCCGAAAATGCAGCGGCCGCGGTCGGGATTCCATTCCGTGACATAAGCTTGGATACGTCGCGCTTAATAAAGTCTTGTGTTTAATTGCTGACACGTCCGTGAAAAGCTTTCTGAATGGGTGGGTTCGTACTGCATTCAAATCAAAACGAAATGTCAAAGCTGCAACGCACGGTCCGAGTGCAGGTAAGCAGTCATCTCTGGGGAAACTGCGTGCAGATTTTAAAGCTCGGTTGTTGAGCGAATAAAAAAATCAGAATGATTGAGGTATCGAAGGAGCATCTATAAACCCGAAAGTTTCTTGTTATATTACTGCTATATCTAGTCGTAATCTGCACACTGCGACAGCTTCGACTTCCTTCGTTACGCGCGCGGCACCGTTCTTGTCGATAGTTGCATCATGCAATTTCAATTATGTTGCTAAGGTGACAAAACTGCCATTTGATGGAGAGGCATGCCGTAGCTGAAGACTCGGGAATAATTTTGACAATCTTGGATCCTTAAACGATTACGCACCCGCCCAAATACTGCTGCTGTGGCCGCGTTATTCCACTGTACAGTCAAAAGGAAACATCGCTTGGCACCACTGTCACACTGTAAGAAGAAACCCTTTATTTATGAGCGCACATAGTGCAGTGAACAATAACAGCGCTCAAATTCGTTGCAATTTCGTGGAATTCTCAATTCACGATCACTTCATCACGGGGGCACTTTTATGAACACCGACTGACTTTCGCGTTCTGCTTTTTTTTTTTTCGTTTTGCCTCTCAAAACTGATTGATACCCTTCACGAAAAAATGAGGTCGTGACAGCACGTAAATTATCGCGCTCTTTGACACGAGATGCGAGTGGGCATTGGATCGCAGCAGTGATGCCGGCGGCTGACAACCCCCTTTGTCTTTTTGTTCAGCTGGCTGCAATCCTTGGAACGTGCCCTGCTGCCTGCGCGGATCGACTGCGACTGCCTCCTGAGATCGACGCATGTCCCTTGTTTGACTCGTCACCTTGCGTCGACCATGGTTGGCCGCCTTACGCAACATTGAAACCCTACTACGCAGAAGAAGCCAGTGTGACATGGTCATCGAGGCAGACGGACCATATAACCGGCTGGCGGAACCCTTCGCCCTTCAGTGGGCATTGGATCGCAGCAGTGATGCCGGCGGCTGACAACCCCCTTTGTCTTTTTGTTCAGGTTGGTCCCGCGCCACCCCTTTTTTCTAAACGCTCAAACAACCTCTTTCTGCTGCTGTTCCCATGCCCAAGTGTTCTTGCCTGCACCGTTGTGGAGTGTGTTTTTGTTGCTAAAATGTTGTTGGTCAGCGGAGACGTCGAGCTCAACCCTGGTCCCCCGAAACAAGACCCTAGCAAACAGAGCAGTGACGTTCTTCTGGCTATTCAAGATTTAACAAAACACCTTGACCAACGGCATGACACCCTCATTAAATCCATAGACGAAGTGAAAG